AAGATTCATATGTGCCAGTGAGAAATTGTCCCGCTGATTGCCTCTTTTTGATTGGATGTCATTAACCAAATGGTTAAACAGTAACTGATTTAAAGCAGACTTGGCAAGCGATTATTGTTTAACGACATCCAATCAAAAAGAGGGGCTTCGAAGGCTAGCTCCGGGCCTTTTGGATGGATTTTCGATCGGAAGTTACAAGTACTTGCACGAATCTTTGATCTTTTTGCTGCAAAGTTTGAAAGCGGAGCGATGCGATTTTTGGGGAAAAAATCGCTCCGGTGCTGGAGCCCTTTCAAAACAAGGATTCCTTCCTTGTCCTTCTGTTATTAGGAACAGTAAATGGTGAACTCAAAATTCTTCAAAATCGCTCAAAAAACCGCTTTTGAGGCAAAAGGACAACAGCATATCACAGGTGATGACAACAACAAAAACAACAACAGTTTATTCAATTGTCAAATAATTTAGATCTATGTTACCCACAATTAGGGGAGCTATTCTAGGTGGAAAGGTAATTCAATGTTGATTTAAAATTGATTTATATACATACTTAGCGATTTCACTATAGGTTAAGCAAACGGTAAATCCAGTACATCTACTATAAAATAGCAATCGGCTACTCACACAGATTGTGTGGCCTCCCTGTGATTCCACTGACTGTTTTGGTCGTCTTTTGAAGGGGGTAGAAGTGGTTATGCAAAAAAGCCAAAGAAACCAGTACAGTGACAAGGAGACACCACAACACAGTGGAAAACATTGCAGGTAAGTCTTTTTATTCATTTCATTGACGGGATTATATGATTTTAACATTCGCAGTTATCATCATTAGCTTTTTATTTTTCATACAAAGTCTCTTATTTTAAACGATCGCCTGTAATGCGACACTGGAGCATCCAGCACAAAGGTCACACACCACCAGTACCTTTGGTATGTAAATTACTTTACAACTTTAACTTGTAATGTGAGTTTGGGCCGCCTGTGGGTTGAGCCTGAGAATAGTGATTAGGATTATAAGCACTGACTTGAAACAGTTAACTTCTCGTTAATTTAGGTTTAGGTTTGTTGTTATATAAATTTAAATCAAAGCCTTTAACCTGAACGAATCATAATGTAATGATGAAATTAAAACAGAACAAAACCAACCCATCATCATCATCATCATCATCAATCTTTATTTATACAGGAAATCGTATCATTTTACATGGTCTTCCTAGGAATCGTGTTTAAAACTAGACTAAAATACTCTCAGGAACTATTGACTATAATGTTAAAAATACAAAAACTTACATTATGAATAATAAGAGTTACAATGGGTCATGGTGTATTAGAAAAATCTTTCCCATGAATCAAAGTTTTAAAAACATTTAAACTAGGCAGTTTTCTAATCTCTGAGGGAATCTAACGATAAATAGTTTTAGGATAAAAGCGTAAGGAAAACAGAAAATGGGTCAGAACGAGGTTTTGTTAGACACTGGCTAAACTCCGTTTAAATAACTGGCTTACTAGGTTTAGAGTAGCAAAACAACAACTTTGTACGTGCATCACGTTTTTTTTTTTTACATTTTTTAGCTGTCGCTGCACGACTGCTACATGAAACTTACTAGTTTTATGCCTCCGCTTTATAAAATAGGTGAACAAGACAAAAATTTTCTTGTTCTTTTTCTAAACTTAGATACGGTCCTTTCGAATTCAACCCAAGAAAATTTCGCCAACATTTGAAAAATTAGATGAAAATGAATAAGATCGATGAAGTTTGAAACAGTGCGAATTCACGTTTTCGGTTTGTTGTCATCCAGACATTTTGCTACCATGGCAACCTGACCAAACAATCAGTTATGTCGCAACGGACATAACATTCGACACAACAAGCTGAACTTCAGTGAAATGGCTAATTCATGAGGGAACGAGCGCTTCAGGCATGCCGTATGTTTTCACTGTATTTTATTATGGAATTCGGAGGAAGATTGGGAAAGAAGAAACTGAGGTCAAGGGACTAGGCATATGGCGAAATAATTTGGGATATTTTGAAAATACTTTAACCAGTTGTCATTTTAACGTGTGATAACGAACTGTTTATCGTAAAAAGTTGATGAGTGTGTGTGTGCAACAAGCCGCGACAATTGTCGCTTGATAGAGCGTACCAATTGGATGGAAGAGACAATTGTAGATTTAGAGGTGGTATGATGTTGTGGCTCAAATTGTAGTTTCTGTTCACCAACAAGTGCAAGGGTAAAGCCTGCATAATAGTATCTATTTGACGCTCCACAGTTTGTTTGCAGTTTTAGGGGTAAGAATTACAACGTCACGCCGCGTGTTGCAAACATATTAAAAGCTACATTTAAGGATTTCTGAAGTGAAAAACGTAACTGTCCAGGGCGTAGCCAGCTTTTCGCCTAGTTGTAAGCCTGGCTGATTTTCATTTCCACATATCCTGAAAATTGGACGCATGGCTAGTACGCATTGAAGTCACCAATACTTTGAGCTCTTGAGCTTTTTAGTTCAGCCGAAAAACGCATAATTTATTACAATCGCCGATAGAGTGATCAAACCAAAAACTTGTAGGCCCAGGCTTACAGGTCTATGGGCTGGCTACCCCCTGGCTGTACGCTTATTAACCTCCGCTTAATGTGTCCACGAAACCGTAACCCGCTTTGTCCACGCTTGATACATTTTCAAAACATGCTTTTCTCGTTTTGCTAAACAAATCAATTGTTAAATTGGCCCATTAATCAGGGAAATCCAGTTTAATTTGTTTTTACGATTGTTAATGGATCTAATTGCTGGATCGACAGACCACGGGCTGATTCACTGTTTGTTTAAATGGCAACTAAATTAGAACTGTGATATTAAACAATAGAAAGGATCAGGAACTTGCTTCAATATATTCATTGGTAAATAAAACGCAAGGGTCCGGAACTTTATTGCGACCAATCGTATACCTTGGTTAGATTTTAGAACAGCTCTCTAAATGCCGGCCTCGTTCTATAAGTCATAAACCAAAACAAGGGCGCTTCTTTATAATATTCCTCGTTCTAAAACAGGGGGCTAAGGGATCGTGCAATAATTATCAGGAGGGGGGGGGGGGGGG